ACTCATTAAAGGTTATTTGCACTTGAGTAGGACCTGCAGAGTCAGGGAAGGGGTTTAGAGTCAAAAACTACCCTGGTGTGTGGAATTATACCACCAGAGCTCCCAACTGAGCAAGAATTAGAGCCTGGGTTGGGTCTTATGGAAGCCCAAGAGAGAGAATTCTGACAATGTTGACCTCCTAAGCAGAAGGAAAATGTGATTTCCAATTATTTATGCAAGCGGAAACAATTCTTTATGAATTCCTGTTAGATCTGTAAACAAGTTGCTAAAAAAAGATCTGACTGAGTCAGGAGTTTCTACATCAAACAAGGCACAAAGCTGAAATTGCTGCCTCACACCAGAGAGCAATGCCCTTAAGTTAATTTCAAGGAATATTTTTCTTTGTCTTACTTCCCTGTCAGAGTAAAACCAAAATAAAAGCAAATTTTAGAGTACAGCTGCTGAAGCAAAATTTCTAGAATTTATGCACTTATGGATGTGCCAAGTCTTGCAGGTCTATAAAAAACTTGAAAAAGAATTAGGTAAATAATGATCTTCTTTCTTCTGCCCCAGTCCACTCCATCCTGCCCTACTCAAGACAGCATTCCTCTCACATAGCATGATTGGAAAAAAAAATCTCACTGGAAATTATTTAAAGAAGACTTTTACCAGTATAAACCTCAGGCAGGGTAGGGTGTTAAAAATGTGACAAAATGTAAATGTTTAAGTCATTGATGGCACACAGAGGCAGGTTTGATGTCACTGACCCAGATTTGGTGACCAGCAGGGACTGTCCATGGCAGATGCCTATAGTTAGGAGGAGTTTACCTGCTAAAGAAAATGGGGATAAACTCAGCTAAGAATGACAAACCTGGTCATCCAGTACTTTCCACCTGCTTCAGAGAAATGAAATAATGGAGATTTACAACCACTCCAGTCCCTTTACAGTATTGAGCAACCAATGAGTGGCATCCATTTGGTGTATTTCTATCAATTTGTTGTTCTATTGCAATAAACATGCAAGTTAGAACTGAATATTTGAACATTTGCACCTAAATAATTAATAATACAGGAAAATATGGAGGGAAAAAAGGTGAATCTATGGATTAGGGCAAGAGTTTTCTACCCAAGGCTCCTCAGTTCTAGATCTTAGTCATGCATTGCCCAGACCCAAGGTTGTTAAAATGTTTTACTCATTGAATACCCTGAACAAAAGGGTGTTCAGGTGTGCTGCACTGCTCACTAAATTCTTTCTTTGACTCACCTTTAAATCACGCTCAGATCTTGCTCCATTAAGGAAAAGCAAGCATGCTTTCAACAGAAAACGCTGGAATTTATTACAGAACAGGTCAGGTGTGAGATTTTCGTCGCGTTGGCTGCGATCCCAGCGCGCGTGAGGAACTCGCAGAGGCTGGGACGTAACTCTGGCAGCCTCGCCCCTGTTTAAATTACCAAAGTGTTCCATTCAAAATGCCACTCTCACACACGGGACGAGGGCTGCAAGGAGGGGAGGACTCAACATGGGCACTCGGAATTACCTCTGGCATTTCATCCTCCCTACTCTCCTCTGTGAGTAAAAATCGATTTGATTATTTGTGGTCGCTATGCATTTAGAGGATGTCCTTGAGAAACACTGGAAATTATAATCAGGGAAGGGGGGCTGCTAAAATTAAATATAAAAGCCAATAACATGCAATATTTACGGGGTTGTGGGTTTTGGCTGTTTTGTTTTGTTTGTTTAGCTTGAATGCACTGGATTTCAGCACATGTTTTAGTAGGGATATAAAGCTGTAAGCAGGTAAAAGAATAAGAGCAATGTATTCAGAAAACTCATCTGAAAGATCAAACATGCGGTGTCTGACCAGATTTTATTACTTTTTTTACCCCTAAGTTTAGTTATGAATGATGTATTTTGCCAACTTCTCTCCTCTAAAAGACTCTTTAGGAAAAGACACATAAAAAAGCATGGATTAGGTTGTATTAACTGTGCTGTGTTCTCACTGCACTGCAAGAGATTTTAAAAAAAATCTAGAAGTTCAGAGGGGTGCATTATTTTATTCTTAATGTCTGGTTTAATGTCATTCAATGCAGATGAGCACAAGTTTCTTGACTGATCAGTACCTGCTGTTAAAAATCTGAGAGATACAAGCACAGGATCTTACAATTCAAACTACATTTGGGTGTAAAAAAGAAAGCAATCTGTAGGAAGAATTTTGAAAAATGTGTATTTTTACATTACAAGTTGCTATGTAGACATCAAACTATATGAAAATGCCACCTTCATTTTACAGGTGAATAGAGTCAAAAGCAGTTAATTAATGTGGTTCTTAAGAATTGGATAGATTTGCCCCAGTAGACCCTGTCTGAGAATCCTCTAAGTTTCATTCAGCCAAACCCAAAGATCCAGGGTTATATTGTGTTGCTAAGAAGTAAAATTGACATAAGGCAGAGGGACATGTCTGGGTTTTCAACAGCAACAAAGCCACTCCTCAAAATCAAAGTTGAATTAGCAGATAAAGTAAATTAAATAAGCCCAAAGTAACCTGATTATTTAACCACAACGGAAAAAGGATTTGATTTCCCTTTGAAAGAAGCTGGGAGTGTTAGAAATGTTTTCACCCTCACACTTGCAAACTACAGGAGTTACAGTTTATTTGTAGTTAGAAATAGAGGTAAACACAGGAAGGAAGTGAATTTTCACCTAGGATGAATATGATTTAGAACATGAACAGAAAGATATCCTCAGAAAAATTGTTCTCTTCTGCCTGACAGAAAGCAATTAGGAAAGGAATAAATGCCTTGAAAAATAAAGAAATTGAAGCAATAAAATATACACAAACAGATGGGAAGAAAATTATGATGAAAAATGCATTCAGCTAATTTTAAATTTTCCTGTTAATTCTCTAGGAATTTTACTTCAGAGCAATCATAGGATCATAGCATCATTTAGGATGGAAAAGTCCTTTAGGATTGAGTCCAACCTTAAACCTAACACTGATGAGTCCATCACTAAATCCTTTCCTTACTGTAAATAAAATAATATTACAAAAAGAAAAGTATGTAGAAATTAAAAAAAAAAAAGTAGACTAAGAATAGAAAGGTAATAAAAATCTCTACATTTTTACATGGAAATTACCAGGAAGTTGGTAAGATCTCCTTAAATTTATGCAAATGGAAAAGGAAGTAACAGAAATTTCATGGTAGTTGAGGAATAGCAAAAAATATGAAACTGGAAATGAGGAAGGAAAGGAATAACAATGAAGATGAGAACCTTAAGTGAATTTTTCACACAAGAACAAAGTTACACTTGGTAGATTATTAAAGTACTTAACAGAATTACAGGGCAACAATCCATGATCCACATTTCTGAAATCCTGACAGGTACCTTAATGGCATTAGAGGGAAGAGATGCAATGACCACTGCTAAGAGCCAGGTAAATGTCTCCATGAGCACAGACAACAGCAAGGACACCGGAACCGACCCAGCTGCACAGAGCTCAAGTCATTCTACGGCAGAGCCCAGCAATCGAACAACCCCGCTCCTCCCGGGCACAACCTCGCTGTCCCCCTCCACCATGAGCATGGTGGCTGGGAAAGGGACGACGGGCACTGCACCCACAGCAACAGTGTGGGAAAGCAGCTCACCGGAGATGTCTGCCCAGAGCAGTGCAGTGAGCCCAGCATTCCCAACAACAGGAGCTGGCACCACCACTGCCCCCAGCATGGGCACAGAGAGTGCTTCCTCCCTGTCCTTCAGCTCAGCCACAACGAGCCACTCCTCCTCCTCCTCATCCTCCTCCTCCTCCTCATCCTCATCCTCATCCTCATCCTCATCCTCATCCTCATCCTCATCCTCCTCCTCCTCTCCTGGGGGCGCCTCATCTGTGACTCCCAGCCCACAGCAGAGCAGCACCAGCAGCACCCCTGGGACACCCCTGGCCACCACAGCACTGGTGTCCTCTCCATCCTCCTCTGATGCCATTATGGACACTGAGACCACTGTGAGCAGCCCAGCTGCCATCACACCCAGCACCAACCCAGCACCTTCCAC